GTGGGGCATACAGCCCTATACTTCCAGGGGCCTCATGATTGTGTCCTGGAGGTCTTCTAGCATCCTAACTATTCGGCCCCGGAAGCAATCATCCCCTTGGTTCTTCGTAGGGAATGAGGGAAAACCTAAACCTTAAACCCTAAACCCTGAATTAGGGCCCTACATATATCCGTTAAGGGATCATTTAGGGTCCTTATTCCGACCTCTCAGGGTGGGTGGGGTTTGGGGTCTTTAGGGTTTAGGGTTTAGGGTTTAGAGGGTCTTTAGGGTCTTTAGGATCTTCAGGGTCTCTAGGGTTTAAGGTGCCATTATGTAGAGAGTTGATCATGCAGTCTAAGAGCTGAACTAACCTTACAAGTAAGAGGCTGTAGTGGGCCCAGGTTCGGTAATACAAGAACGGCACCCTGAAACCTTAACACCCCAAAAGCCTAACAACAAAGTCTAAACCAGAAGCCCCCAAACATCCTAAACTCGCAGCCCGTAGCCCGCAAGAAAACCCGAAAGCCTCAAAGTCTAAGTTGAAAAGTGAGCCCTAGGCCCCCAAAAACGTCCCAGGGTCCCATCGGCAAGCGCTTTCGTCTCCGATGGATTGCCCGTGACGGTACGATGCAACCGGGAAAGCAGTTGAGCAAAGCAAGGAAACCCTAAACCCTAAACCCTAAACCCTAAACCCTAAACCCTAAACCCTAAACCCTAAACCCTAAACCCTAAACCCCTAACCCTAACCCCACCGAACCGATCACAGCGCAGAGGATCCAAGGTCAAGTGGTCCAATGGTGTTCCTTCCTTTGGTCAGTAGGTAATAACATACAAGGTTCTGAAGCAGAACGCATGTCCGAAAGGTAATTAAAGCACGGATATCCCGCGTACTTTCACACTGATATGACGCGTTTGCTGTTTGCATGAACTTCCCGAAGAGAAGTAGAAGAGCTGCGCGAAAGGAGCACGTTCCAAGACAAAGCTAAGTTAAAACTCCAGTGCTTGGGTTCTTGCTCCTGAATCAGTCAAGGCAAGTGGAAGTGATGTTGTTTTTTTCGCTTTGTGTGTTTGCTCACATTGTTTTTGTTTTTTGTCTGTTCCAAACAAGCTTCATCTTTGTCAAATTCCAAAGTAGAAATAGCTAAACATGGCTTCGCTGACTGTCTCCGGGTCTCGTAGTTTCTTCTGGAGGGTTATTTCCAAGCTGACTGTAGAAAGAGTCCACAAATGATGACGACACTTGCTTCCCCAAGACTCATCGCAGCTGAATGTCTGTCTGGAGCGCGGTGAAGGTCTACCTGAACCGGTTCTGCCGCTAGCCTGTCGGTCTTAAGTTCGTTTGCTAGGATGCCCAGTCGTGCCCTTATTCCCTTTTTGGGGGGTTTCGGTTCCCTTTTAAACCCCTTTAAGCAAAAAAAGGGCACCCTTTTTTTAAGCCTAGGTTACTGGGCCCAGGCTAGTCGTACATCCAAACCCTAAACCCTAAACCCTAAACCCTAAACCCTCCAGGTTCGGATCCACAAGAATTGGGAGCGGACCCGACATATTGCACCAGCTGTGGTCCACGGTAGCCTGGCTCTCTTCGGAACAGAGGCCCTAAACCCTAAACCCTAACCTAAACCCTAAACCCTAAACCCTAAACCCTAAATCCTAAAACCCTAAACCCTAAACCCCAAGCTTCGGGTCAGGGCCCACAGCACCGTCCACTCAGCCTCAGGCCATCCACTTTTGTGCAATTTTAATTCACAAAGGCATGCAGGTCGGTTTAGGGTTTAGGGTTCAGGGTTTAGGGTGGCCAGAAGCCTTAAGCCCTCAACCCTTCTGCTTGGCAGGTGGCAAAAAAAAACAGTTGAAAATGTGGTCTACGCCAAAGAAACTCTAAACCCTAAACCTTGGGGATGGGTTTTACTTTCTCTGTGGTTTCTGATTGTGGCCCATACGACTGCTCGGCATAGGCATCTCATTCTTTCTGTGTCCCACACAGACTGACGGACCTTGCCTGCCTTGTGCGAGAATGAGCGACTAAACCCTGAACCCTGAACCCTAAACCAAACATCGACCTGTCGCCAGCTGAGGTTAACAGGTTGGACTTTGAGAAGGTCGGGGAACCATCACCCTTCGAGATCATGGAGACTCGACAAACAGCCTTACTTGGCCAAGAGTTGAACCTTAAACTTCTTGGGCTTCCTTGCTAAGTAGGAAAAAACAAAGTTGAACCTTTTTTTAAGTAGCTCGGTAGGCCCTAGGGACATGTAATATCTTCCCTCATTGGGTTCAAGAGGACCAGGTTCAGGAATATTTGTTCAGAGGCCTTTAAGGGCCATCCTACTGGGAGGTTCAGGGTACTTGTAACCCCAAGTTTAACTGTACTAAGAAGCCCCTAAGTCCCCTAAGTCCTCTAAGTAGGTTATAAATAGACTTATAATTGGGGTTATAAGTACCCATGAACCTCCAAGTAGGGAGGACAGACCTTGAGCTTGTGTTTTTTGAGGTTTATGGGTTAGGGTGGCGGGTGGCAAAGCAGTGCTGCCGAGACTACATCCATGCCACACGCTCTTCTTAAAGGTGCTCCCTTCCTCCTTTCGGCATGATGCACGAATTGGCTCCACCACCTTCTCAATGACTACTTGGAGGTTCATGGGTTCTTAGAGAACTCGAAGTAGAGCTCACAGTGGGGTAGCTCTGGTTAGAACCTTATCCCGGGTACCGATAAACACAAGTGCCCTAAATAAGGTCAGAACCATAGTTACCCTACTTATAAACCTATTTATAAGGACCCATGAACCTTCAAATAGGGCGTTGAAGGTTCAGAGCCCCTAAACCCTAAACCCTCAACCCGAAACCCTAACCTCTAAACCCTAAACCCTACATCCTCTGTGCGAAGCTGCCGCCCAGGATTGCTGGTCCATCGACAACGATTCGCTCTTCGTGTTGGGCGAGGCTGGGTTCAGGGTTTTACGCTCAACCCCAAACTCATAGGGTTTAGGGTTTAGGGTTTAGGGTTTAGGGTTTAGGGTGAGGGTTCAGGGTTCAGGGTTCAGGGTTTAGGGTTTAGGGTTTAGGGTTTAGGGTTTAGAGTTTAGGGTTTAGGGTTTAGGGTTTTGGGTTTTGGGTTTAGGGTTTAGGGGTTAGCTACTTGCAGGTTCATGGGCACTTGTAAGTAGGAATATAAGTACGGCAACTATGGTTGTGCGCTTAGAATCCTACTTAAAAGTACCCATGAAACTCATAGGGTTTAGGGTTTACAGTTTTGGGGTAGTAGGGTTTGGGGTTTCCGGGAGTGCTGGCAGCTGTTTCTTGCGGTTTGACCGCCGAGGCCTTGGGAGTCTGTGTTTTTGTGTTTGTTCAAAACCACCCTAACCCCACCTCCCCTAAGCCCTAAACCCTTGGGGTCACCGTAGCGGCCCCTAAGCCCTAAAACCCTGAGCCCTAAACGCAGCATTTCCTGCCCTCTGTCCAGGGGGCCACAGAAGGCTCAATTTGTTTCACTAAACCTTCAACCCTAGACCCTAAACCCTAAACCCTAAACCCTATGCTAAACAAAGCCTGGGGCCCTAAAGCCTGAATGACACCTGGCTACGCACTGAGCCCTCAACGTCAGCCTTCAAGCCTTGAAGAACTTCGGGCGAATTGTTATCCTGTGAATACGTCCTAAACCCTAAGCATAAACCGTATACTACCCTATAAGAATACCCCATAATGCCCTGTAATACCCTATAAGAATATCCTGCAATACCCTATAAGAATACCCTATACTACCCTATAAGAATACCCTAGACCTGTAATACCCTATAACCGTCCGAGGCCAGAGACGCCTGGCGCCTACTGGAGTTGAAGCGCGATTCCGATGGGAAGCTGGCGGAGAGCAGGGTGCCTCGACAGTTGAGGCTTCAGGCCGTGGGGGTTTTCCTAGGTAGGATAAGGGGGACCCTTAAAAGGGAACCCTTCTTAACCTTCTTCTGGCTCTCTTAAACAGGGACCTTATTTAGAGGGTCTATATCCCCGAGGGTCCCCTTAATCCTATCCCCTAGGTTTACAAGACCAGAAAAGCCCGGAAGTTCTGTAAGCGCTCAACATGCGAAGCATCCCTCAACCCTAAATCCTAAACCTGCCCAACCACGAGACTTTCCTGGCTGAAAAGATGCGAAACCTTGTGCCCCCGAGTAAAAATGGCAAGTCTCCATATCAAATATCACAGCCAAGAGCTTTGCAGCAATGTGTTTTTCACAGTTTCGCCCCACAAGGCGTCCTACCCTAAGCCCTAAGCCCTAAGGCCTAAGCCCTAAACCCTAAACCCCAAACCCCAAACCCTAAACCCTAGACCCTAAACCCTAATCCCAAAAGATGGCCACCCCAAGCTCTCAGGTGCACGTAGAGCGCCGAGGTCTTTCAAAGCCTGGAATCAGGCTGGGACTGTCTAGAGTCTAGGGGTTTAGGGTTTAGGGTTTAGGGGTTTAGGGGTTTCGGGGTTTAGGGGTTTAGGGGTTAGGGGTTAGGAGTTTGGGGTTTTCAGGGGCCCAAATTTTTAGGCTCACGGAGTTGGGTTGGGGTGGCGGGGGGATAGGGGGGGGGGGGGGGGGGGGGGAGGGTGTTGGGGTGGAGGGGGGTGTTTGGGGTTTAACCCTAAACAGCTGCTCCTCGCAGGTTTGAGGAGGGGCAGATCTCTTCCGTTAAGTGTAACGGCCTTTCGCGTAGGCGCAGCGGCTCAGAGATTCCAGGGTTTTGTAGTTTGGGGTTTTGAGGGTGTACGAAACACATCTGTGTGTTACTTCTTCGTGGCCGCCTTGAGTGAGCCGACCTGTATTTCTCAGTAAGGTTAGTCAGCTGAAGTTTATGTATTTCTAGGCACACGATTCGCTGCAAATGATTCGCTGCAAATGAAGCCCTTCCTTGGCCGAAAAAAACCCAAGCAGCCCGATTCACCATCATTCCAGTAGCCTTGCGCAAGAAAATCGTGTGTATGAACTTAATTTACACCTGGAACCCACTGGCAAATCCGGCCCAAAATCCGGCCCGATGCCATGCCAGCCATTCAAAGCAAGATCACTTTGCATTGTTCTCTGCCATCAGGGAGGTCTTGCACGATCAGGGCAGGCAGGGAAGATCGAGGAGACGACGTGTTAGCACAGGTGGAGCGCGAATTGCAGGTGCCTTCCTGTGCACAGCGGTTGATTTGGGGTAGTCGGGGTAGCAGCAGCACCCCGCAGGAGATTCTCAGCTACACCACGCTGGGATCACTGGGCGTGGGGGATGGCGAGGATTTGCTGGTGGTGAGAGCCTGGCCTGCAGACCCAGCCGAGCTGGTTTGTAAGATGCAGTCTATCGCAGAATGCCGGAAGCAGCACACCACATCGTGTGCAGAAGTCGTGATTGCTAGCTTGGAGGCTTCCAGTCACTCCATGGTACACATCGCCGGTCTTCGGGTGTTGTCCTGGATGGGCGAGGAAGCCGCCCCCCAAATAAGTCGAATCCGCATGTTTCTCCGTCACCCACCTCTCGTGGCTGCCGCTGCAGCGACAGCGTTGTCTTGGCTTGGTGAAGGCGGCGCCAAGTCCGCCGGGAGGATCTTGACGCAGTGCTGCCACCCTCGCTGGCCGTCACAAGCAAAAGGTGCATGCAGAGATGCATTGTCGGCCATGTGCAATTCTGACCACTCGAACACGCGCTTGGCTGCTCTCCTCTCCCTTACAACCTTGGCCGAACGCAACTTTGACCACAATTCCCGGGGAGCAAGTTGCCCCAAAGCTGTGGGTACCTCTCTCCTTGTCTCATCACTTGACGCAAAAGCCCGGGCATGCGAGGAGCAAGAGCAACGTGGCCACCTGTTCTGCACAATGGCCTTGCCTGCCCTTGGCGATGCCTTCTTTGACGAGGACCGGCGACTCCAGCAACTTGCTGCCAACTTCCTCCTGCACTGCTCCGCGCCTTCACCGATGGAGGCTGAGGAGCAGGTTGACATCAGGACTGGTATGACGGAAAAACATGTTCAGTTTTATTTAGAGGTGGAGTTCCCTGCCAAAGCGAAATGGGCGGCAGTACTATTGCGGTTCGGGCAGGATGCCTTGGAGGAGAACCCCTACAGCCAAGAAGTCGTTCGGGCATGTCTCAAGTTAGAGGAGTCCTTGAACAGTCACTGGCCATCTTTGCGTATCTGGCAAGAGACGCGCAAGACGCTGCCAGATCCCGACAAACTGAGCATCAGTACGGCGGCGAAGCGTGTGCGTGTGGCCACAGTCTGCCTTCTGCGTCGGGAGTTGAAGCAGTGGAAGCAGCAGTTGGACGCAATGCTTGCCACACATGATGACGACTACGACGAAGTTTTCCTCAACGTCCCGCATGCAGTCGCTGTCTACTGGCGCCAGAAAATGGTGCCCTAAACCCTAAACCCTAAACCCTAAACCCTAAACCCTGAACCCTGAACCCTAAACCCTGCATGATGGGCCTCTTCAGTCATTGCTGGGAGGTAAGATGGCAGTGGAGGCTTTGACTGAATGTGCCCCGTTAGGTGGAAGGTTCGGAACCACAGTTGGGACCATGCAGAAACAAGAGAAGGAGGAGGAAATTCTTGAGGCCATTCGTAACTTCCTGAAGACATATGAGGACATCGTTGTGTGCATCAGTGGGCACTGGTACAGCATTGAGGACGACGATTACAACATGTACCACGACTATTACACGAACATCTCGGCAAACGATCCTGACGAAGAAGACCGAGCCGAGTGCCACGGCCCCAAAGACAGGCCGAGGTTTTCTGGCCATTGGAAGCTACACGCCACGCGAGCCGCCCGGCACCACAGGCAACATGGGCGGTCAGCGGCCCTACCTCCCTCCATCACCGCTGCACAGAAGAAGGCGATCCGCTGCCGAAAGGCCCAGGCGAGCGCAGAGAGCTACCAGGATTTCACATCTGCGAAACGATGGGCTGGCAAGGTCGTGGAAGAGGGGAGGAAGCTGAAGAACAACCTGACCACTTGAGCAAGTTTCGGAACTCATCGCTGATGCCACTACTACTAGCGACGACTACTACTAAAACCACTACTCTCCTCAGCATATGTACAGTGCACAGCGCCTCCTCTGCTCTGGAGTGACAAAAGCAGCTTTTCTCCGCCGTCGTCGTCGTTGTCGTCGGCCTCGTCGTCGTCGTAGTAGTAGCAGCAGCAGCAGCAGCAGTAGTAACAGTCGTAGTCGTAGTCGTCGTCATCGTCGTAGTAGAAGTCGTGGTGGTGGTGGTGGTGGTGGTGGTGGTGGTGGTGGTGGTGGTGGTGGTGATTGTGGTTCAGGGTTTACGAGCGTAGGATCAGATCAGGAGTTTGTCCGCCATGTTGCCCCCTAGGCTTTTGCTTCGATGACGATATGGAAGTTCAGGGCTGGTGGCCCCTGCAAACAAGAAGATGGCCTTTGTTTCATTCCTAAACCCAAAACCCTATACTCTGGGATCTAGACCACCAATGGCAACGCTTCCGAGAGCTGGCTAAGCCTGACGTAAAGCTTGAGGGACCCTCACCCTGCCCTACACTTTTAATTCTATAAACCTTGGGTCCTTCCCCCTTACCGCAGTAGTCTGTAAAGGGGATCGTAATCAGAGGCGACAATAACTTGTTGTACCTTTTGTGGTAGCTGCTACTGTCAGGGGGAATAATCCATCCTAAACCCCAAACCCCGCTCTGAGACTTTGGAACCTGCAAACAATGGGGCTTTGACAGTGGGCTGAACAACATTGTAAGGTTTCAGACGCTCGTAGAGCTTTCCGGGTTCGGTCGTTTTTCTTTGGCTGTCAGGAAGCAATTAATTAAGGTAACAGCTGACAGGGTCTCGCACGTGTGGTGCACGCCGCCCCGACTTGCCAGCAGTCTAGTCTCTGTAGAGTCAGTTGCTGCCGCATCTGCTCGGAGCTCGCGAGTTTGCGATGTTCCCTCTTATCCTAACAGTCCTTAACAGGGATTATAGCGCTTCCTTTATCCTCACTATTAAGGGCTGTTAGTTTTAAGGGGGAACATCTCAAACCATGACTTAACCCTAAACCCTAAACCCTTATGCCAGGGTGTGTCCCAAGTTTCTTGGCTTGGACACGACGGGCGAGGCCTTGTGGATCTGCCACAACACGGGGCCTTGCGTGCCACCCGGCCGTTAGGGTTTAGGGTTTAGGGTTTAGGGTTTAGGGTTTAGGGTTTAGGGTTTAGGGTTTAGGGTTCAGGGTTTAGGGTTTAGGGTTTAGGGTTTAGGGTTTAGGGTTGCACATCAGCAGGGTCAGGCGATGTCAGTTTAGGGCTTAGGGTTTGGGGTTGAGGGTTTTCAGGATTTAGGGTTTAGAGGTCGTAGCATGTGCCGAACATCCTCCAGGTGTAGGGCCGGAAGGTAGTTAAGGTTCTACTAGCAGCCTCAGTGGTTTGTAGCTGTTTCCGTTTGCTTCTTCCTGGCTATGCTTGTTTTTTTGCTGGGCCGTAATCGTTCTCTTCAGGGGTGCTAAGAGCACTGAAGCTTGGAGCTTATATGTTGGGATGTTCCCCCTTATACTAACCGTACTTAAGTAGGGATTCCAGTACTCCCTACTAGACTGCCTATTCAGGACTGGTAGTATCAGGGGAAACATCCCAACATGTAGGGCTCTTCGCTTTTGGAGCTGCAGTCGCCTGGCAGTGAATCAAACTCCGAGGCGTCCTGTTGCTCGCTCCTCCCGCGTGGGGCCATGCTTCATCCATCCCACAGTAGCTTAGGGCTTAACCCTAAGTCCTAAGTCCTAAACCCTAAACCCTAAACCCTAAACCCTAAACCCTAAACTTTAACCCTAAAGCCAAGTGCCATGTGAACACATGCTGTCCGAGCCCAATTGCGTAGGGCTGTAGCAATGTGGATGTGGCTTTCCTTCTGCCCTCCAAGCTGGCATACTGTCCTTGCTTTGTACCGTTTTGCTTTTTAGGATTATAGGGTTTAGGGTTTAGGGTTTAGGGTTTAGGGTTTAGGGTTTAGGGTTTAGGGCTGAGGCTTGTCTTTCAGTATCCCAGGCTGCCGCTGGAAACATTGGTGCCACGAGCCTGCTTCACATGGGAGGACTTCTGCAAAGCCTGCCCACAGGAGGAAGAGGCGCAGGGGGTTTAGGGTTTAGGGTTTGGGGTTTAGCCTTAAAAGCCCCTTTACAACTCCTGCAAAAAAAAACGCCAACCCCCTTAAACCCTCTTAAAACCACTATACAACTCCTGTAAAAACCATCTAGACCCTCTCAAAACCCCATTCAAAGCCCAAGCCTTCATGCTGTTCCAGGGAGCCCGAATCCGCACACCTCTTTTTCAAGAACAAAGGTTTAGGGTTTCGGGTTTGGGGTTTCGGGTTTAGGGGTTGTTAGGACAGGAGTGAGACCTGTCCTGGCATGAAGCAGTTTCCAGGTTCAGGGTTTAGAGTTCAATTAGGGTGGTTTAAAGACTGTTGCTTGGAGGTTCATGGGTACTTAGCAGTAGATTTATAGGTACCGTAATTAAGGCAATAACCATAGTTACCCTGCTTATGACCCTAAGCCTCAAACCTTAAGCCCTACACCCTACTTGTAACCCTTCTTATACCTCACCATGAACCTCCTAAACCTCAAACCATAAACCCCAAAACCCTACTTGTAACCCTTCTTATCACTCACCATGAACCTCCAAGTAAGCCTTGAATTTGGAGCAACCGAATTCCTGCAGCCCGAAGCCCAAAGCCCAAAGCCCACGCCTAGAGCCGCCTCAAAGCAAGTCGCGGAGATCTCGGAGGGTTTTAGGGTTTTAGGGTTTTAGGGTTTTAGGGTTTTAGGGTTTTAGGGTTTTAGGGTTTTAGGGTTTTAGGGTTTTAGGGTTTTAGGGTTTTAGGGTTTTAGGGTTTTAGGGTTTTAGGGTTTTAGGGTTTTAGGGTTTTAGGGTTTTAGGGTTTTAGGGTTTTAGGGTTTTAGGGTTTTAGGGTTTTAGGGTTTTTTAGTTTAGGGTTTTAGGGTTTTAGGGTTTTAGGGTTTTTGGGTTTTAGGGTTTTAGGGTTTTAGGGTTTTAGGGTTTTAGGGTTTTAGGGTTTTAGGGTTTTAGGGTTTTAGGGTTTTAGGGTTTTAGAGTTAGGGTTTAGGGTTTAGGGTTTAGGGTTTAGGGTTTAGGGTTTAGGGTTTAGGCTTTAGGCTTTAGGGTTTAGGGTTTAGGGTTTAGGGTTTGAGGTGGAGTTTCGCGAAGTTCTCATGGATCTCAACACCCGGGAGCTCTACATTTTCTTCGACCTCAGCCTCACTGTGAACAGAGAGGCATACCCCCCCCCCCCCTTTCTGAAGGTGACGGGGCTCTGAGTTTATCCATTGCAGGGTTTAGGATTTAGGGTTGAGGGTTTAGGGTTTAGGGTTTAGTGTTGATAGTCATTGGCACCGGCTCATCCGTTAGGGTGCCTCTTTGTGGGGTTTGGGCCATGAGCATTCTTGCACCCCCTCGCCGAAGTCACAATGCAATCTCCCCGCACAGCCCTTCCTAAACCCTAAACCCTAAACCGTAAACCCTAAACCCTAAGCCCTAAACCCAACTCTACTTGCAGGTGACCTTACAAGTAGGGTCATAAGTACCTTGAATAGCCTGATGACCTGGGATGTCCCCCTTATACTAACAGTCCTTAATTGGGAGTACAATGTCAATGGGGCACTATAGTCCTTATGAAGGTCAGAGAGTATAAGGGGGAACATCCCAAATTATAACCATAGCTACCCTACTTCCAACCCTACTTGGCGATCGGAGTCGAGGTTTGGGACGGGAAGTTGAGATTCGGGGATCTACCGCAGCTCTGCCAGCCTTGGAAGCCTTACTGTAGCGGTCCCAGGTCAGATCCTATAGGGTTTCAGGGTTTCAGGGTTTCAGGGTTTCAGGGTTTCAGGGTTTCAGGGTTTCAGGGTTTCAGGGTTTCAGGGTTTCAGGGTTTCAGGGTTTCAGGGTTTCAGGGTTTCAGGGTTTAGGTTTTCAGGGTTTAGGGTTAGGGTTTCGGGTTTAGGGTTTTGGGGTGTAGGGTTTAAAGCAGGTTTGCAAACGTAGCGCAGAAGATACTTGCCAGCATGGGCTCCTATACCCTATGACCCCCTTTAGAAAGGCCCTTTATAGGGTTGATTATGGGGACTATGGGGTCCAATGGCCCATCCTGGTGGGCGTCAGTCTACGGTGCGATCTTGCTCCTCACGTTGCAACCCGCCGGACACACCCCAGAAGCGCCCGTACCTAAACCCTAAACCCTAAACCCTAAACCCTAAACCCTAAACCCTAAACCCTAAACCCTAAACCCTAAACCCTAAACCCTAAACCCTCACTTTTATTCAGAATCCTAAACCCTAACCCACCCCCTCCCCTCCCCTCCCCCTCCAAAAAAAAACAATGAAAAACATACAGATATACATATATATATATATATATACAACACTAAGGCGCAAAGCCCAAGCCCAACTAAACCCGAAACCCTGAGGAGGTTGATGAAGAGACAACGGCATCTTGCGACCAAGCTGTCCTGGAATTTGGCTTTCGGTTTTTGCAGACAGAGCCCTGAACCGTACCATGCAGAAGAATGTTAGGGTTTAGGGTTTAGGGTTTAGGGTTTAGGGTTTAGGGTTTAGGGTTTAGGGTTTAGGGTTTAGGGTTTAGGGTTTAATCTTAACAAACCCCCAGAGCAAGAGGTGAGGATTTCGGGGCCTGGGATTTGGCGATTTAGGGTTTAGGGCTTGGGGAGGTTTGGAACTGCAGTTGTTTTCGGAGTTTCTGAGGCCGTGTCCTGTGCCTGACGCCCGCGAGCCGGCCTGGAAAACCTCTGTGGCAGGTCCGAGAACGGCAGTTTTTGTTTGTCGGCTGGTTTGTTTTTAGACATAAGGGGTTCGGGTCATTCGGGATTTAGCCTTGGGTTCCTGTTTTTGTTTGTCGGCTGTTTTGTTTTTTTGAGTGAGGGGCTCAGCGATAGAGATCGGATAGCCGGGGCTTTGGCACTTCAGACTACTCGGCCTTGGTTGGACTGAAGGTTCATCGTCTGTGTCGGAGAGCAACAGCTATGGCTGAAATTGATCTAAACCCTAAACGCTAAACCCAAAATCAGAGGCCCCACTATGTTCCGGGTTTAGGGTTTCAGGGTTTAGGGTTCAGGGTTTATGGGGTTTAGTGGTTTAGGGGTTTAGGGTTTACGGGTTTACGGGTTTAGGGGTTTAGGGTTTAGGGTGTATAAGCTTGGGTTCAGGGTTTCGGTTGGGGTTTTGGGGCTTACGAATGGCTTGAGATTGTCGGGGCTAACGTTTCTAACCCCGTCAAAAAAAGCCTGTATTCCGAACATTTAGCCCTAAAGCCTTAAAACCCTAAACCCGAAACCGCAGCCCTCAACCCTATGCCCGAAACCACCCAAACCCTGAAAGCTTACTCAAGCCCCTCAAGCCCTAGACCCCAAACTCCACACCCCTAATCCTAAAACCTTCATCACCCTCTCTGAGAACCCTTCTATGTGGTCTGAAAGTTGAGTGTATGGCTTCCTTGTCCCCAAGGCGAGGAGGTTCAGGGGGCTTGTGCTGTTCGCAACGAGTTGGAGCAGGATGCTAAGACCGGGGACATGCTACGCACAGATGCACCCATCAGAGAGCAAAGGCCTCACCAAGAAGGTTTAGGATTTCGGCTTTAGGGGCTAGGGTTTAGCCTACTACCCTTTCTATAATAAAGGTTGTTAAAGTGGGGGAACTTTAGGTAGGGCAGTATAGAGGGGAGGAGTAGGGCAACCCATGCGAAGACTGTCCTGATTTGGGGTGTTCTTACCCTAAACCCTAAACCCTGAACCCTAAACCCTACTGTTCACGGCACAGAAGGTTGACTATCCAGACCTCGCGGGCGAGATGGCATCCTGCCGGCACCCTCACATGGCCTAAGCCCTAAGCCCTGTAAGCCCTTTGGGGGTTTAGGGTTTAGGGTTTAGGGTTTAGGGTTTAGGGTCCGCCCTACTACGAAACACCGAAACCTGCTGCACTATACCCAACTTTTCCGTCATCAAGTTCTGTACGAAGCGTGGCTTTTACTACGGCTTTTGCTCCTTTCTCCAGGGTTTCGGTTCCCTTGCAAGCCCCTTTAAACCAACAAATGCACCCTTTCTTCGTTCCTGGGTTGCTCTTGGCCCTAACCTCCCCACCTCTGCCAACAGAGCCAGATTCCAAGAGCCTCGAACACAAAAGTACCCTAAACCCTAAACCCTAAACCCTAAACCCTAAACCCTAAACCCTAAACCCTAAACCCTAAACCCTAAACCCTAAACCCTAAACCCAAGTAGGGAAGGAGCTCAAGGAAGGGTTGACCGTTTAGCTACTGTTGCAAGGAACGGGGGGCATTTCGGGATGTGTGTGACATTGGGGCCCTCCTAATGGAACCCTGAGGCGCCTCAATCCTAACCCTATAGCCACTGTATGCTTAAGAACCCCTCCCAAATTTGATAGTCTTCTTCCTGAAAATGGGAATATACGGATGATTTTCATAATTTTCGGGTTCTTAAGCAGATAAAAACAATAAACACAAGCATTGCCCGAGACCCTCGACCCTAAAACCCTCAGGTGACGGTGGCTGCTTACTGTATACTGCTATGAAAATCTGCTTCCAATATGTTCGCTCCTGCGTGTTAGTAGCTTCGATCGGTAAGCTTGATGTCTGAGGTTGTCAGGCCCCTTGCGTTTGTCAGCGTGACCAATGTGTCCTTGTCTTCACCATGTGCCTGAGACTTCTAAAGTTTTGCTTGCGCTCGCGCTAGGCGTGAGGGTCGAAACTCGAAACCCTACAGCCCTGATTCTTGCAAACACTCAAAGCAGCGCTACCTGAAGTTTTCACGTGTACTTATAAGTCGGGGCTCAACCCTAAACCCAAAACCCTAAACCCCAAACCCTAAACCCTAAACCCTAACCCCAAACCCCAAACCCTAAACCTTAAACCCTAACCCTAAACCCTAAACCCTACACCCCAAACCCCAACCCTAAACCCCAAACCCCAAACCCCAAACCCTAAACCCCAAACCCTTAAACCTAAACCCCAAACCCTAAACCCTAAACCCTAAACCCTAAACCCTAAACCCCAAACCCTAAACCCTAAACCCTAAACCCTAAACCCGAAACCCGAAACCCTAAACCTCCAACTAGGGACAGACTCGCAGGTCGCCAGCGCCCCATTGAGCATCGATGGCTTCTCCGACGCGCCACCTAGCTCTTCTAACTCGATCCCCTTATTTTGGAGGGGGTTCCCTAAACCCTAAACCCTAAACCCTAAACCCTAAACCCTAAACCCTAAACCCTAAACCCTTTGTGGGGATTCTATTCTTTCGAGGGCATAAAAGGAGTGCTCCCTATTTTGGGACATACCCATTTCTAGATCAGTGTTAGGGATCCCTTTTACTTTTTGGGTTGTGGGCTTTCTTATATATGAACAAAAAGGATCCTTGTTTCTTCCTAGGGGGAACAGGGATTAAGTTCTATGGAGGGATCACGTAGGGCTTTCAGGATTCAGGGTTCAGACGGGTTTGGGGTTTAGGGGTTTAAGGGCTTAGGGTTTAGGATTTAAGATGTAGGATTCAGGGGTCATACGGCGTTCGAGTTCCGGATTTTTGGTTTGAAGATTTTTGTTTTAGGGGTCGGAAGGGCGGGATGTAGTACCGATTTACCCCAGTCGAGATTCTCGGGTCTGTGCTTCGTCGAAAGATGGCTTAATTCTTTGGTCCAAAAGCGGCTGGCCTTCTTGTTGGCATGCAGAGATCCTCGGGAGTTTGTTCCCCAAACCCCAAACCCTAAGCCCTAAGCCCTAAACCCTAAACCCTAAACCCTAATTATATTTGTATATATTTTATTTTTGGGGGGGGGTCTTAAGCAAATAGTAGCAAATCCTAGCTTGCTGGTTCTTCGTAGGGAAAGAGGGACTTAGGTACCTTTATATCCCCCTATATATATATGTGTGTTTGTGTGTATATGTATTTATTCATATCTATATACTCTTTAATGGGCTTAGATTGGGGCACCCAATTCCCTCACTCCGTACTAGGAACCAGCTTAACCGAAAACCCTAAACCCTAAACCCCAAACCCCAAACCCCAAACCCTAAACCCTAAACCCTAAACCCTAAACCCTAAACCCTAAACCCTAAACCCTGCAGAAGGTTTAGCAAGTAAAGCGCGACGCATTTGATGTGCAGGTTTTGCGTTGCGGCGACCCACAGGACCGATGAACTTGAGCCCGATCACCGAACCCGAACGTTTGGGGTTTAGGTTTTAGGGTTTAGGGTTTAGGGTTTAGGGTTTAGGGTTTAGGGTTTAGGGTTTAGGGTTTAGGGTTTAGGGTACCCTAAACCCGAAACCCTAAACCCCAAACCCTAAACCACTCCCCCGGAAGGACCGAGCAAGGCCTTTGGGCCCTGGATGCCGCTGGCAGTGTGTGGAAGATGGCTTTGTGAGCCTTGAGGCCACAGGACCGACACCCTAACACCCTAAACCCTAAACCCTAAACCCTAAACCCTAAACCCTAAACCCTAAACCCTAAACCCTAAACAGTATACCTAAACGCTAAGCTTTTGGGCTCGAAATCGCAGATGTTTCGAGCTGTCAGTGTTTGGCCGAAATTCGGCGAGTTGTCGGCTGACATCTGGGAGTCGCGTCTTCCTGTCTAAGACCAGAGACTGAAGCTTACACATTGGTTGCTGGTCTCTTTAAGTAGGTTTTCTGTTTTGTAGGGGGTTCTGGATAGGGTGTCTAGGGGCTATATTGACAGATAAAGAGGCTACCGGCCTTTTTGACTTAAAGCCAACCCAAAGCCATAAGCCCCTAATCCTCGAGGCACCCTATGTGCCTAGACCCGTTTCCCTATGAAGCCTATTTTATCCTAAACCCTAAACCCTGAACCCTAAACCCTCATGCCTAGACCCAGGAGCCATGGGGCCACAGAAAGTCCAAGCAAAGGGCGGAGGTAACGGAGCAAGGTGACTTGAGGCCTTGCTGGGAAATTCTTCTGGGTTTCGATTTTTGGGTTGGGTTTTAGGGTTTTAGACCAAACCCTAACCCTAAACCCCCAGGGCTTGGGGCTTTCCTGGATTCTTGCAGGTTCGCAGCCCTCACCCATTGCCAGCCCAAGAGGCACGACTAAAGCTCAGATTCGATACGAGCCTCAATGGTTTGTGCAATGCAGGTGCCACCCATCTGTCTCATAGCCTCTTGCTGATTTCACTCTGGACACCCCATAGTAGCAGTCGACATGCTGGCGCCTTTGTTGTGTCTCTTTAGCAGTTCCGCATAGTTTTGGGATGTCAACACGGCCCCACATCTGTGGCAGGTCCATGGCCCTACATCAGGGTGGCGATGCGAGCGCGGCAAAGAAGCACAACGCAACCCCACGCAGCTGATGGAGATCGAAGCGTTTCCCGCTGAGAGATGCGATGCGAAGAGAAAAGAGCGACTCAAAACCCTAAACCCCCCAAAACCCCCCAAAACCCCTGAACCCCATAAACTGTTGATTGAAATGTTGTCACGCCAAAGGCCTTCCATCTTGTGGTTTTTCGGGGTTTTGAGGATGTATGGACTTGAAATCCGGCGCCCATGGCCATGCGCTTATCGTCCCGCAGGAAGGATTCAGGTATTCCTTAAACCCCTGAACCCTAAACCCTAAACCCTGAACCCTGAACCCTGAACCCTAAACCCTAAACCCTACACGTATGGTCCGGAGAAAACGTTGCACTGCAAGAGCTGCCATGATTCAAAGCGCCACGAAACACTCAAGCACCCGGAGCCTATGCTCTGGGTCGGGATTGCATTCAGAGCCTTGTTGGATTCAAAGGTTAGGGTTTAGGGTTTAGGGTTTAGGGTTTAGGGTTTAGGGTGTAGGGTGTAGGGTGTAGGGTGTAGGGTTTAGGGTTTAGGCCTCTAATCTGACGTATCACACTCATCTTTGTGCTCGGGCTTGGTTTGGGGGGTGGGACCATTTTGGTTTGCATTGCTTTGGGCTTTTTCTGTTGGGTGTTGGCCTTGTGCTGCTGCCTTCTTCAAAGATTCCGAGCCAGGAGACACACGCCGCCTGGATGTATGTGTGTGTGTGCAGGTATGCATAATTATGGCTGATCAGAAGGCTGACAATTTAATGACTTCCAACAGTACCCGAAGCCCTCCTAGTAGCCTCGGCCTCTGAACCCACACAACCTTAAACCCTAAACCCGAAGCCCTAAACCCGAAGCCCTAAAACCCTAAAGCCTGAACTCACACAAGGGTGCCTCAGAAAGGAAGCTCTGTGCCAGGTCGGGCGCCTGCCCGAGGCATGGTGGCGATGTGGGGAGTTTAGGGTTTAGGGTTTAGGGTTTAGGGTTTAGGGTTTAGGGTTTAGGGTTTAGGGTCCAGGGTCCAGGGTATAGGGTCCAGGGTCCAGGGTTTAGGGTTCAGGGTTCAGGGAGAAGTGTCGAGGTGAAAAGGAGCGGTTAGCTTTAAGAAAAGGTTTATGGCTTGGGGTCGTTTATAGGTCTTGCCTTTTTGTGTCTTAGCATCATGACTTAGGATGTTCACCCTTTTTCTTAACAGCCCTTAGTATGTTTTTTGGTGGCTTAAGGCCAGAGGCCATGCCTTTTTGGCATCTTCGAGCACAGCGAAAATTCCCCCCCCCCCCCCCCCCCCACCGGTAAACCCTGATCCTAAACCCTAAACTCAAACCCCCCCCCCCCCCCCCCCCCCCCCCCCCCCCCCCCCCCCCCCCCCCCCCCCCCCCCCCCCCCCCCCCCCCCCGACCCCCGAAGCAAAACAAAAAAACAAAAACTCAAACTGGCGCCGTGGTTCTCCAGCAAAGAGGGGCATGTTGAAGTGGTGTCTGAACCTTAAATTAAACTAGCGACCCAAACTTTGAACCCAAAACCCCTAAACACCGGAATGCTAAGCCATAAGCCCTCAAACGAATGTCCAGCCATTGGGGGGGGAGAGAACGCAGGCTTACGAGAAGCTCATCCACGACGTCGGGGTCCAGCTTTCCCATGCTGAACGAACTTTCACCCTCCTTGAGCCCTAAACCCTACACCCCTAAACCCGAAACCCTAAACCGTAAACCCTAAACCCTAAACCCTCAACCCTAAACCCGAAACCCTAAACCCTAAACCCTAAACCCTAAACCCTAAACGCAAGCCTTGGCCCTAAACTTCAAACCCCAAACCATCTGGCAGACATGCGCTGCACCTAAGCTGTACCTCGATAAGGCGCATGGTTGCGGGCCCTTCCGGCCAGGGTACAGCCATGAGCAGCATTTCACGGATAGTCCCATTTATGTGGTTATACTGTTTCCGTTTTTTTTGTGTTATTCTGCCATTGAACAAAACGATTGCAAGTGTTATTGTGTAGTTCTGTTTCGTGACGCAGCTAGGTTCACAGCTTGAGACGGAACGACCGATCCCCACACTGTGTCGGGTGTTCTGCTGCCATGCGTCCTTCAGATGTCCGCAAACGCCCCCCCTGAGGTCGTAAGCCTAAGCTGCCAAGCTAAGCATAGGCACTGGCACAAACCTGCAGAAGCAAGTCTCGTGGCCCAGATGGCATGATCCCTCCAGTATGGGCAGAATGTGCATTATCATTATTGTGTTTTCGTTCTATTCGTTTTACTTTCCTAGGTTGCCATTGTTGTGCTATTGCTATCGTATTACTATTATTCTGATTTTGCTATGAAGGACCCCTTCTCCCCCCCCCCCCCCCCAGATGGGCCCTGAACAGATGTCCTGAACCATACCGCCTAGTTCAGCGACCTCCCAAAGGGTGTAGGGTTTATGGTTTAAGGTTTAAATCTATATCCCCCTTGGCAATTTAAGCGGAGTATAGAAATAGGGCGTAGGACCAGATGAGTAACAAGACAAAAGGGAGCTCAATGAGGAAGTAGGACGACAGCAGGAGTAGTGTCCACGTGGTAGAAGCTCAGGTTTGGGATGTTCCCCCTTATACTAACAGTCCTTAAGAAGGACGATAGTAGAGGTACCATAATCCCTATTAAGGAGCTGTTAGTATAACCCTAAACCCCAAATCCTAAACCCTAAACCCTAAACCCTAAACCCTAAACCCTAAACCCTAAACCCTAAACCCTAAACCCTAAACCCTAAACCCTAAACCCTAAACCCTAGCTCAGGTCATCATCGGCGAGAGCCATAACTTCGTGCGGAAAGATGAGGCGATGTAGAAGTTGCTTCGGAAGATGACCTGTGGATTCCTTTCTCTTGCTGCGTTTAGGGTTTAGGGTTTTGGGGTCTAGGGTCTAGTGTTTAGGGTTTAGGGTTTAGGGTTAGGGAAGGAGGTACCCTATGTTTACCCTTTAAGGGATTATGTAGGGTACCCAATTCCCCCATTCCCTTCGCAGAACCAGGCGTTCTTGGGGGCTTACGGGGCTCACCACACTTCAATCGGTCATGTTTGTTTCTCCCCATGTTTCTTTCCAAGGTCTTCCTCTTCGAGTTAGGGTTTAGGGTTTAGGGTTTAGGGTTAGGATTTAGGGTTTAGGGTTTAGGGTTTAGGGTTTAGGGTTTACGGTTTAGGGTTTAGGGTTTAGGGTTTGGGGTTTAGGGTTTAGGGTTTAGGGTTCCTCTTCGAGTTGCAGCTAACTTCTCTAGCTGCAAGGGCTTGCTTTCATCGCGGGGCTCGCGTCTGGCATGAGTGGAACCAGAAGAGCACGGCATACTCGTACCTCGACGCGCATTCTCCTCAAGCTCTTACGTTTAGGGTTTAGGGTTTAGGGTTTAGGGTTTAGGGTTTAGGGTTTAGGGTAATCCCAGAGCTTAACCTCTCGAGTCATCTATGCAAAGCTGATGAGTCTGAAAACCGATCCCTGACCTAAACCTGAACCCCAAAGCCCAACGTTATTGCAAACATCGAAAAAGAAGATACATGTAGGGACATGTAGAGGAGGCTATACATGTTAGTACAGACCCCTCAGCCGAAAACCCGAAACTCTTAGGCAGGCATCAAACACAAAGCTGCAGAGAAGACCTTTGCAGGTGGAGGAGGGTTGGCGAATCTTCGACCCCTTGCTCAAGTGCGTGAATCTCGGGAAGAGGGTTTACGGTTCAGGGTTCAGGTTTGTTAGGTTCAGATCAAACGGTGCCATATGGGGACCTGCTTCATTAGAAAAGGTCTGTGGGTAGTTATTGCGTACCATGTTTTTTCATAGGGACTATCAGGGAAAATGCGATACGAATCCTGCGAGATCGACGCCATCGACTGCGGAGTCAAACTTCCTTGGTGGAAGTTGTGTGTTTAGGGTTCAGGGTTCAGGATTCAGGGTTCAGGGTTTAGGGTTTAGGGTTTAGGGTTTAGGATTTAGGGTTTAGGGTGTGGGGTTCTGGTCATACAGCTGCATTTGGAAGAAGAGCTTGCGGACAGTTTGCTCTTGTTCTTGCATCACTTGGCTACTCGAACTTGGATTCAGTATCAGCGCATGTTGCTTTTTGATATC